TAATGCAGGTTACATGGTACAGCAAATTAACCTTTATGTACCACTAGGTAGACACCACTGACTTTTAAACCTTTAATGAAGATGCCATTTCTGAAATCAAACATTTTAAAACTACATAAACTCTGTAGATGCCAGATGCAACTGTTACCAGTTGCTGTGGAATTGTGCTACTCTAGCTTAACAGAAAACTCATTTCCTGGAAGAAACCAGACAAATACCAAACTAGAAGAACTTTCTGTTGTTGACCTGCGGAGAAGCCTACAGGGAAATTTTCATTTGCTCAGCTTCCACTCCTTGGAGTAATGTGCTGTGGCTTTTCTCAGTTTAATATCTCATCTTTGTAAACTATTATTGCTGCATTTGAAGCATAGGACACAGAGATTCCAATCTTAATTAGGCATCTGATGCACTGCAACTGTAAAGGGGATAATTTTCAGGAAATTAGCATTCCCAAATTCTGCAGCCAAATGTATTTCCTGAGAGACGTGGTCAGTGTAGCTGCACCTGTGCCACTAAGTACTGCGGATTTGCTGAGCGTCTCGAAGCGGCCCCAGCCATGGGGTGTGAGAGTGTCAGGTTGCATCATTTAAAAAGTCAGTTAAACCAGAATGCTAATATTTTTGCTTTTTTAGCAGAAAAGCTGACAATTGTAAAATAAATACTAGACTGCCACTGCATGCAATCACTTTTTTTTTTTTTTTTTAATTAATAAAACAGTCGGTCTCAGGAATTGTGAAAAGTCAAGTGTGTAACACTGCTGCAGGTACCAACTTGTCTTAACAGCTGAAGAAAAATGCAGTTACTATGTCCTAGACGTGCAGGTATCCATTTTACATATTTAAGCCATTTTTTACCCAGCCAGACTTCCAAGAATTGAGCCTGTGGATACTAATGAGCCTCCAAACTGATGATGCATCTATTTGTGAGCCAAAAATTCTGCCTGTAAAATCAAACTTTGAACTAAGGTTCTTTGAAGACCTGGAGCCATAAAAGTTGCATCTGGAATTGGATATAAAATAGGGAGAAAAGGTGGAAGGTTTCTGTCTCAGATATGTAGCCCTTTAACCAAAGTCAAACATTAACCTGTATGGTTTAAAAGACAAGTTGTACAGATAGTAAGCAGTTTAAATCAAATTATTAAAATAGACTTATATATATGTCATAAATTTGCTACCTATGAGGAATGCTGAATTGTCTTATGGCTACTTGTATGTGCCTATTTTGGTTAATGAATTAATTTTACAAATTACTCATATTCCATGTTTTGTCAGAAATTCCATCTTTTATTACAATAGAACCTGCAGTCACATGCATAAATATTGGTGCAGTAAAAGATATTTTGATTGACTGTTTCCTGGCAATTGACACTAAATTAATTTCCCACATCTGTTTACCAATTTCACTTCATCCAGCTAGAAAAGCTGTTTCAAGAAGCAAAACAACACTGCTGTTTAAAGGTGCGCATTCTCATTCCCCTTTTCCCTCCCTCCCCATTTTATATAGTCAGGTAGGTTAAAACAGAGAAAAAAAATCTGAAGATAAAATATTGATGTACAACAATTCAAGCTGAATGCATAAAGTACAGTTGGAACTGCTATTCCTGAATAGAAAAGTTATTAAAAATACATTATCTAAAAAAGTGGGGTGAAAGAATAACAAAGCCTGATTTTCTGTTTTCCAAATGGCTTTCTATTGAAAGCTGAACCTGGTCAAATAAATTATGATCTTTCTGGAATAACTGAGTATTTATCTTTCACTGCATCCATTTTCCTATCTGTGATATGTATATGCTGCCCAAAGTATTTAGGATCATGAAAGATTTTTTTATGGAGCTTCAGATACGGAAAATGAGACATTCTGTCATTACTGGTGTTGCAAATGATGTCTGGGGATGAAGATGTTCAGCCACTGTTTTCTTTGGGGTGTTTTTTTTTTGGATGATCTTTCATGTCCAGCACCCCTCCCTCCCTCATCAACATGTGGCTTGAGGTGCTGGGACACCCAGAGGGGCGTATTTGAGAACTAGAAGGAAAATGAATTTTAATTCCACTTTGCAGTACCTCTCTGCCCATTTGCGAGGCAATAGAGACTCATTGTTCATTACTTATTGCAAACAGAAAGAGAAAATGTTTAATTTTGAAATGGACATGTGATTAAGATGCCTCGTCCCTGGTGGCCAGCAAAGAGGACACAGCACAGAGTGCATCAAAAAACCTAAGAAAATCCAACCTTTTAGGAACTGACACAGTATAATTAAACTTTCCATTTCCTGAAAGGGTATTGGCACAAATGGAGCTCATTAATTCTAAATTAAAGCTTTTATTCTGGCCTGCCTACAACAACCTCCTCTGAAAAAAGGCTCTGTTTTCTAGATAGTCAGGTTGCATTCACACGTTTATTATGTTATGGAAAAAGACTTGACAGATTTTTATCACTTTAGTACAAATAAAAATGAACATATGTAATTATGTAACCTCCTAAGGAGGCCTGATTCTTTGTGATACTGTTCTAATTCTCATGGTGTAAATATGTATGACTTTAGATCTTACGGTTTGTATAGTCCTTAGTCTAGCAATTGGCCACATTCTGTCCTCCAGCTACCAGAGGTGGAAAATCTGCCCAAGAAGTGACTGCAGTGGAACCTGACACAGCAGAAATATTATGAAGCAGATAATGAGCCCGTACTTTAAAACTGGTTTATACAATAAAGTGCAGAACAAAAACATCTCTATATGTCATCAAAGTGTTTTATTTATACAGGGTTGTTTTAATTACTGCTATACCACATCTTTAGCCATATTTCTCAAAGTCTTGTGGAAATTCCCATTATGCTTAGTGAGTAATGCTAGAAGCCAACAAATGAAGGTGATATGAAGATAAGCAAAACACATTAGGAACTACCAGGTTTGTTGTGAGTTGGGCATAAAAGTATTTCTGGATGAAATGGTAATTTCCTGTTTCACCTGTGACCTACAGATTTATAAGTGAAGTGTGGGGCTCAACTCATGAAAAATTATCCCTTTAGAAGCTATCTGAAATATCTAGTTCCTTGTGTCCTCCACAGTGTTGGCTCAGGATATGAATTGTTATCCTTAATAAGGCACCCATATAACTTGACTTAAATGATGATTTACATTTGGAATAAGTGACGTGGCACTGGTTCTGAATTGCAGCTTTGTTGCTGAGATTATTAAACTAGTACCATGACATCTGTGCAGCCACAGTTTCCACTTGCAGACCATCTGCAGCCAATCTGATCATCCCATGCAGTCACAGGTTGCTTTATAACCTTGACCAGCTTAACTGAGGTGGAATAATTGAAGCTAATTTTTGTAGCACGGGCAACCCTTGGACAGATTTAGAACACTAAGGCTTTACAGCACCATGTATTTATGCTAGAGGGCACTCATATATCGTTCTGAGCAGTGTCAGAGCTTGGCATTTGTAGAACTTGTATTCCCAAGGCATGGTGCCAACAGTAACTTTCAGGGAGTGCTGTGAGGTAGGTGTGTACATAGATCCCTGTTTTACTGATGAGGAAACTGAGGCAGGAAGCTTAAGGTATTTGACACAGATCACAGCAGGAGTTAAAGGATGTTGAACACAGGTATTAAAAGATAACACAGCATCCAAGACAACTTGAAAATTACCCTCAAAAAAGCCAGCTCATTATATATATGTGTATCCACACATCTATGTCTGTGCAGATTAATTCTGGATATGAATTTTTATTTTTAAAACTAGACATTTTGCTTTCTTCTTCCAAAATTCTGTGAGAAAAATTGAAGGCTTTAGGAAGAGCACATAAAGAGCTATGTCTCTGTCCCTGGCTCTCCAGGGAGAGAAATGTAGCTCTTGTCTGCAGTGCCTATATAGGAACAAAGCCTTTACCGACAGAGGCACAAAGTCACAGAATCATTTAGGTTGGAATAAAACTCTGAGTCCAAACATAAACCTTATATTGCCAAGTAGGATGAATTTTACAGGCACATGAACCTCATAGGTCTCACAATATAAGGTCAGCTTGAAGAATTTATTTTTTTTTTCATTTTTCCTATGCAGCAGGTATTCACTAGACTGAGAATTTCACTCCTTCATTTCCATTTTAGTTGGAAACTGAAGTATTGCAGTGACATCTGCAAACATAAGGCATCATGAGATTTTGTCTCCTCCCTTCCATGCTGTTACACCTCTCTAAGAGGAACCTGTCTCTGAAGACAGCTCCTGCAACTGAGAGATCACAGTTTAAGAAGGAAATATCTGAGTAAGAACAGAAAATGCAAGTGATTTGTCTATGGCAGGATAGAGGCAAAGTTTGTCTTGAAGGGGCTTGCAGCCAGATGTCAAGACTACTTGTCTAGACACACTTCTCTGAATGACTCCACCAACCTGATTTTTTGTGAAAATCAACATTTTCATTTCCACAGTATGGCTCAATAAATTCTTCACATCTTCCAGAAGAGTCTCTTAAGACTGTTTCATTTTGCTTGCTTCCTGTGATCATTCATATACATTTTAGAAGAATGTTTTCAGAAAGCAAATACCCTTCTACTCAACACAGATGGATTCCTGAAAAGTCGTGCTGTGATGTTACAGTGTGGATAGTGAATTTTCTCATGAGCACAAACATAATGACAGGAGGCATGTTAGAATTTACAGAATACACACAGTTTAAACACACAGGGATATTTGTGGCATGAGGGATGAGAGACAGGGAAAAAAATCAGTGTGGGCTTTCCAGAGGAAATGCCAGCTTTATAGAATAGATGACCCTTTCTGAAAGCCCTGATCTGCTTCACCCAGGAGACTGTACCCTTGATTGCCTGTTTTGTCACCCCTCACCCTTGACTTGTTCCACTTTGCTTCATTTAAGATAATGCTATCAACTATGAGGGTGCAATTCCTCAGAAAGAGGGAGCCAATTCTTCATCTGTCTCAGAAGCTCAGATCTTCTGGAGAACTGAATGATGTGAAATGTTCCTTCATGTTCAGTCCTGGCACTGCATCAAGGAGACTGAAATTGCAATGGGAATATTTAACTGTGAGCATTCTTGGTATCTCTTTCTGAACAGCTCAACTTTGTTTTCATCATCACCTTCCTCATATGAAACAAGATCGTTCAAGTTTGAGGGGTGACAAAGAATGCAATGATGACATTTCCTTGGTCAAGATATTGAGAAAACACCCTGGAAATCAATGGACAATTAAGGTGCTGCCACAGTCACATCACAAATAACAGTTTTCAGAAACCACATGGCAAAGAAATAGGGTTTGATATGAGTCTTGTTTGACCAACAGCTAAAGAGAGTTTTGAACAGTTACTATCAATGAATATCTCATAATAAATTTTAGCTGAAAAAAGAAAGGTAAAATTTAAATATATTTTAAAGAAAATGGCAATCTGCTTAGGGAAAATGTGGGCAGGCTGGTTTCTTTGAATAAAGTATAAATTGTGAATCATAGTTGTTCAGCTCTTGCCTGGAAGTCTCTTAGGATTTAAAGCAAGCTGAACAACTGACAATCTTGGAGGAATTCAAGTGTGGTTTTATAATATCTGGTTCAACAGACTGAACTGGATCACTCTCACTAGCAATTATGTGTTTCACCAAGCATCTCGACGCTTCATTGATGTTTATATTTTCCTGCAAGTAAAAGAGAAAGAGAGGTTGATTAGTCAATACTAATTAAACCATGTTGCATATTTCCTGTGCATAATTAAACTTTTCTCTCAGCAACATCAAAAGCTACTTACCTTAATAAACAGTTTTCAAAACTGGCTGTGTTAAATAGTGCTTACTGGAGTTTTGAAGTTGGTTAAGTTTTATATGTATTATGATACATTTCTCTTTTAAAATGTACACAGAGCTGATTTTAAATTACCTCAATCTCTTGGTGATTTGATTGCTTCAACAAACTAAAAAAAATAAAAAACAAATTCCAGAAAGAATTCCAGAAAGGTGTTGAAATATGCACACAGAAATAAAGCTCCAAAGACCATATTTCACTGCTTGAATAATGGTTGCTTATTTCCAAATTGTTAATTACCTACCAGCAATTGCAACCATGTATAGCACTTATTTTTTAAAGCCTTTCCCACAGTTTCAAGATTTCTGTATGCAGGGCTCACAATGACACCTGTGGTGGGCCAGTTTCACTGAAAAATGATACAATCTCAAATTACTCACAAAACAGAAAAAAAAATTCTGTATGATTTGGAGTCCTGCCTTATTTCTTGTTGAGGCTGACTGCAATGCACTGCACCTCTGATGCACTGCTTCAGAAGAGATATATCACTGCTGATTTGATTTGTAGGACAGAAATCCTCACTCTAGGCACTTAAAATGAAGGCTAAAGCACATCTTTTCCTACATGTGCCTGATATCAGCTGGACATTTAACTTGCAGCAGCCCTTACCCGGTTTGTAGAATAAATAAAGCTGAAACACCTGATCAGTGAGACACAGCTCAATGCAGCACAGAAAATAAGCAGTAGTGCTGAGTAAAGATTTTATTTATTTATTTATGTTTAATAACAGCCACCAATATGTTTGGAATGAAAAGTCAGGCTTTCTGGCTTAAAAAGTACTCTTCCAGTGTAACTATTGGCATTGATTACTTATTTTATAAAGCAGGAGATAGAAACTCCCCTGTAGTTTCAATCTTTTAGGAAATTTTATCACACATCCACATACATCCATATGGAAATGTGTACTGATATATAGGCATACATTTGTGTATATGCACACACTACTCTTGCTCAGTAAAGACATTTTGTTTGCAGCCTAAGATTACCCAGGTTTTCAAGCTGAATCACTGAGTCATAGAATGGTTTTGATTGTAAGGGACAGTTAAATGCCATCTAGTCCCAATTCTCAAGCATGTCCAGGTCCCTCTGGATGTCAATCTGGAGCCTGCTGTACTGAGGCCATAAACTAGCTATAAAAGAAAGAAATATATGTTTCAGTAGAGAAGACATATTTATAGGAAAACCAAAAGCTATAGGAATGGATTCTGTGCGACTGACTTCGTCCAATCCCCTTGAAATCATTGGCGAAACTCCACAAATTCCATTGCCCATCCCTTTCCACCATAGTACAGTGGATCTAACTAAATATGTTAATTAGTGCAAGACTTCACAGGTTCCTTCAATGACACACATGAACTTAAATATTTTGTATGTAAAGAATATCAGTAAGCTGTAAACCCCCAATACTTTAGAAAGTATTCTTAAATATGGATGCTAAATCTGAACCAGAGTGCCTGTGGTTATTGCAGGCCGCGGGGTTCAGTCCTGCCTGAGAAGCTAGCCTGAGAAATTCATGGGAGGATTTAAAAACAACCCTCAAAGACAGAAAACAGCCCTTGCAGGTGCTGTTTGTCTGTCCCTTGTTTTCTTTGCAGGAGAAGGTCAGGAGGTGGTGTGCACCACTGACCAATGATGGTGATGTAGCTGTTAACTAACCAATAAGAGTTTCATTTCTGTACTTTCTATGAACCAGTCTATAAAACAAGTCTAAAGTAATAAACTAGGGAATTCTCCTGTTCAGACTCCTTGAGAGTCTGTGTCGTTCTTCCCAGCCGTTCCTAATAGAACGACACTTAAATTCTCTAAATTACTATTTAGAAAAGTAATGTACATAGTAACCTCTAGAAAGTAATATGGAACTGGGAATCACCTCTATACTGAGATGTTAAAATTCTTCTATATCACATGGCTCTCTCAGACCAGACTAGAAAATTCCTCAAGCATGCACTGAAAACACTTTTCAGACCACTGTGAAATTTTATTAGGAAAAAAACCAAACAAACAGACAATGAAAAACATCTCTCAGTGCTTGGAAAACTGAAGCCAAAATAGGATTTTTAAATGCACAAAAACAGGAATGTAAAAGTCTTTTGCGCTGTGATGGACTGATGGGCATTTCATTTGCCCATGTGCTGCTTCTGTGTTGAAATGGCAGCATGTGTTTATTCAATAATGTCTTAGACACTGCCTAAGAATCTGCCCAAATTGATTAAAGTTCAGATGTATTAACAGCAACCCTCTTTTTCAGAGGCTACCATTTTACAGCATTGGGAAAGGGGGAAGGAGCCAAGCCCACAAAAGCATAAAATGGGTATAGGTGGATACCCCTCATCCCTGCTGGTGATAGATGGAAGTTCATGTGCCAGACATGAGCCTAAAAATGCAGAAAAATAAAAATGCTCCAGCCAGTACTCAAACAAGAAAAATAAAAAAAGAGGGAATGAATAAAAAGTACTCTCCTGAGTCTAGAGAGGAATTTTCTCATCCTTAACATTTATATGAACTCTTTAAGCTGTGTGGATGACAATTTCAGCTAGGGTACAAGGGGAGGAAGAGGAAGGGTGACCCTGGCTGACAGCACAGCCGGTTTTGAGTTTATGTCTAGCTCCAGCCTGCTCCTGTGGTTCAGACGACAACTGGCACACAGCATGGATGAGAAGTAATATGTTAAGTCACCCGCTGCAAGGAGCCTGTGGTCATGCCAACAAAGCAAATCCTGCTGTCCCAGATCCCTGCCTTGACCACTTCCTCTCTGATGCTGCTACTGCCATTTGTTACAACCTTAATCCTGTGGCATCCTAGACCTGCAGATGAGACATTGCTGTATTCTGGTCTGACTAATGAAATATTGATTTCTCCACTTCTCCTCCTATAGTGTGTTTTGCAAAAGAAAAATCTATATTCTGCTAGGCAGTGAAAGAGCTACAGACAGTGGAAGGTGATCTGCTATCCAAACACAGACATCCAGAGGCCTGGTGATTTTAGAGTGCATGAAGTGTTGAAAGGCAATCAAGGGGAGGAAAGAGACAAAGGAGAAAGTGAAAATCCACTCAAACATGAAGAAACCAACAATCAGAGCATAAGATTGGACAGAGAGGAATAATCACAGACATCCTACTAATGGTATTGAGACATGTAAACTGCCTCAATTATACCTAAAAATAAAATTAATTATGTTTCAAAAATGAAAGAAAATATGGGTGATACAGTGGAGTGAAAAAATATCTTTCAGTGGGTCTCTATGTTGAAATGCCATAACTGTCACCTCCAGGCTTTCCTGCAAAAGAACAGCACAGGAATTGTGATGATTGCTGAAGTTCAGACTTATTTTTAGTTTTATTTTCTCCTCTCCTCTCCTCTCCTCTCCTCTCCTCTCCTCTCCTCT